AAAGATTATTGTGGATTGACAATCTATAGAAATAGGGGAAATAAAAACAGAATTATAACTTATGGATTCAGTTCTGTTTGTTTTGAGTTTTCAGTCTTTGGACCAGAAGCGGACCCTACAGTCCGAGGCCCAGACCAACTTCAGTTTTAGTATTTAAAAAAAAAAAAAAAACTACAAAAAAAACCCTCAATTGTTTTGATTAGAAAAAAGTCAGAAGTAGTAACAGATTCAAAGCAAAACAAAAAGTATTATTTCTGATTCTTTGCGCATGGTTTCACCACAAGTTCTGATCTTTATTCAGATTTATTTTCTCTTAAATATAAATTAAATTAATCAAAGTCTTCAAGCTCAAATTTATCTGCAGGAGGGAAATCTGAGCAAATCAGCTGCAGATAAAGTTTAGTTTCACTCCTCTCAGCTGAGGCTCTAACACTCAGAAAGTGTGAATGAAATTAGTGCGATTATTTAAACAATGAACTCCTCTACAAAAAAAAAAATCTAACCCATCAAACGTGTATTCCAGCCCGGCCAGGCCCGGCGGAGGGTGGGGGGAGGGGTGCAAATGAACTCAATTAGAATTTAGATTAGACCTCCGGGGAGAAGAGAGCGCCTTTCACAAGAGCTCTTATCTGCAAACTAAATGAAGGGAAAAAAGCAAAAACACTCCTCTCCAATTATCCGCAGAGTGCTGCGGACGCTCGCGCTCAATAAAAACTTCTTAGAGCAGAAAAATAATCTGGAAGGTCAGAATGGAGTTCTCTACAGTGCTAATTAATTTATGGTTCAGAAACTAAAATAAATCATGGTAAAAACTACAAATCGGGAGCATGAAAGTTGGGAAGGAGACATTTAAAATGTGCTGGGCTGTGCGTAAAGAGCGCGCGTAAAAAGAACCAAAGTTTGAGTTTACCTGGTTTCACTTCTTCTATATTCCAGCCGAGCCCTCCGATCGAGCCACGAGGAAAATTATCCAGCAGGAGGAAATGATCTGTTGGTTTCCCACTGTGAAGAGGGCCCCGCCGCAGAGTTGCGCCAAAAATAAAACAAACACCCAAAAGTGAAGTGCGCAAACCGAGCGGCGTCACGGAGCGGCGGGCGGGCGGGTCGGCAGCGTCCTCGCTGCTGTTCCGGCCGTTTTTACAGCCGAACTCATCAAACTCATTTGCTTTGAGAGGTGCAGCTTGTCGCTGTCTGTCAGGCTGTTGAAGGCGGTTTCTAATGGAGACGGATGAAGATTGATCACTTCTCTCCGCCCCGCGCCTCTATGAGCGGAGGGTTCCTTTCGGATCCGCCTCCTGCGGCCAATGACGGCGCGGCGGACGGTTGACGGACAGCACGAGCGGCCTATAGGCGCGCGGAGGCGGGGGGGGGGGGGGGGGTAGAGGCTCATCGCGGTTTACAGAAAGATGGACTCAGAGGCCCGCAGGAGAGAGCGGGCCTGGTACTGCTACCTGCTACTGCATCAGCTGGACGTTTGGAAAAGATTCATCACCTGCAGACAAAGATGGAGCGTTGGGAACACAATTACTTGAAACTATGCCTTTGAGCTAAACGTGATTCTTATATAACTTTGCCTCCTGCAACAGAAAGGAGATGGAAGTCACCTTCACCTGAAGGCCTCAGCAGCTCGTTGGTTTTATTTTATTTGATCAAAAAGTAAAGTGAGAGAAAACCAGGCGAATGGAAGTTAAATTCATCCATTTCTATTTTCATTGTGAATCGTCTCCCCTCTTCTTTCTTTCCCTCTTCCCGCACACAAACTCATGAATATTAAAGAGGTTTAATCCCCATTTAGAATTACATTTGAGGATGGTAAAGTTTAATGGGGAAAGACCTCGAACTGCAGGAAAAAAGGAAAAATCCGCTTCAGAAACTGCAGCATGTTTATGGTTTTAATGTGTTTTT